TCTGTATGCTCAAGGAGAGGGAATAGTAACTCCAATATTATTTCCTAAATCAGTGGTAATGTTTGTAATTTTGAGTTAGGAGGAAATTGTTACAAAAATATAAGTATATATATGTGTATATATATGTATACACAGACGCACGGAGTCCTGGTGGTGCATGAAGCCCTGGTTAAGCACTCGGCTGCTAACTGAAAGGTTGGTTCTCTGTGCGCGAAAGATGTGCCAGTCGGCTTCCTTAAAGGTTAAATATTACAGCCTTGGAGACCCTATAGGGCGGTTCTACTCAGACCTGTGGAGTCGCTGTGAGCCGGAATCACTTGACAGCAAAAAGTTTGGTTTCTTTTTGTTTATTCATCCTGTATGGAGTCAATGCTTTCTGCCAGGGAAGCTCAAAGGAGAGGAAGAGGTCATCGTCCCAGCCTGATGAGGGCTGACAAGGCTTCTTGCAGGAGGTGATTGCCTTCACTTCCTGCTCATGATTCCCAAGTCTCAATCCCTGATCCACACCTGGGCACCAGTCCCAGGAATATAACCACCGGTTAGACATCACCAGACACCTCAATCCCAGCATATCCAAACCTAAGCCTCCCTGAGTTCTCACAGGAGGGCTAGCACTTTCTGCCCGGTTCCAGGGCCAGGAATTAGGAAGTCATCCCAGATGCCTCCCTCCCCCTCACGTCCTGCTTCTTGTGGGAGCTTGACGAAGGAGGGGATAGCCAGTGGAGAAGGGGAGTGCCAGGCACATGGCCCCCATGAGGTAAGCAGGCCCGGGGTGAGTTTGGGAATTGCAGGAGTCTTGTGAAGAGACATGACTGGAGGTGAGGTGGAGGTACCATGGCCAGTGAGGGGTTTAGGATTTCCCAAGCTACTGGGGCCTTGAAGCAGACGTGCATTTTAGAAAGACTGTTGTTAGCAGAGCAGAGGCTAGATGGAGCCTGGAGAGCCTGGGCTGGGAGACTGGCTCCATGGACCTGGGGAGAGGGTCTGAGCCTTCCACTTTAACCCTGAGTTTGCCAGTACCAGTGCAGCTGGAATAAAGCCTCTTATGACAGAATTGCCAGCTGGGAAACCTTTCCTCACATCCTGCTCCCTGAGCGCAGGAGGCAGCTGGCCAGCAGGCTTACGGAGACCTGGTAGGTGGGGAAGGCGGACTATGAGGACCTCGGGGGGGTGGGGGTGGGGAGTGGCCCAGCCCCCTTCACACCCTGCCTGATGTCCTTGCTGTAAGGCAGGGGCTGCTTTTAAACTCCCAGAACTGGCAGAATCAAGCCCAGAAGCACTGCTACAGTCCTGCTTTACCTTCTTCCAAATTCCAGCCTTTGAAGGAGCAGAAATGGAGATGCAACTTTTCCCAAAAATAATTTTAAACACTTTGCCCTTTTCAAAAGGACAAGGTTTTTCAGAGCTAATTACAGAAAGAAAGAAAAAAAGACCTTTGATTTTTTCCTTTGAGTCGAGCACTCTTTTATGGCTGTCTTTATTACACAGAGGATGAAATTAGGGCCCAAAGAGGTTATGAAACTGTCAGCATGCGATCACACGGCTGGTGAGGGGAGCCCGGGTTGGCACATGGACGGGTGATTCCAGAGACTGAGTCATGTACCTCTCTACTGCTCAGGTTGACGAAGGAGGGGAAAGGCATCCTCCCCTTTGCTGCTGTCAAGGCACGGAGTGATAAGAGGGTGAACTCTGCTGAGGTGGAAGTAGAGGAAAGGGGGCCAGTTAGGATCTCTTCAGGAAATACATATTTAGGCTAGTTTGAGAAAATACATTTAGGAAAGGCAAGATAATGTTTAGGGTGAGAGAGGCACCTGAGATGATTCCCACGTTCCCACAGAGAGTTCTTCCTAAGGTACTTCCGTGACTTACGGGGAGGAGAGCTGGAGGGAATAGAAGGGAGAGTACGTGTATGATGTGTTTCTGACTTCAAGTGAAAAATGCTGGAAAATGGACATTACCTGCAATAAAGAACAGCTACTCGACTTGTCTTTAACCCCTTGTTACTATCGTTCACAGAAAGACAGGAAATCCTGTTCAGAAAATCTTGAGTATGTCTGAGATTACAAAACCTTTAGGAATGAAGAAAGAGAATGTGGGGATAAAAGTGAAAATTCAGGATCGCAGAGGAACTGAGAAACTTTAATAGATGAGAAATGGGGTAAATGAAAGACTATTACCACCAAAATCTGAGACAGAAAAGATTAAGTAAATGGGATCGTAGCCAATGTCAGACCAAGGAACCACAAGTGAAAAGTGAGGTTTTTTAGTAATCGTGTCATGATAACATTCTAAAACACTGTGGGCACCACAGCGGTGCTTAGGACAGTATTTATAAACTTACAGACTCATCTCAACATGTCCTCAGGTGGCATGTCCACTGCAGAGTTGGTTGCAGGAGTTGGGCCTGAGTTGTAAGGGTGATTCAAGTCAGCAAGAATGAGAACGGAAAAGGAATGTTGGTGTCCATGGAGAGGTATTTGATTTATTGTCTCCATAAATCATTTTCTGTGACTTAGGAAAAACTAGACCGTTGGCACAGTACCCTCTAGTGTTTGGGAGAGTCACTGCACCTTTGTTTGCATGATAAGGGCAAATCTGTTAACCTGAGCAAATATTTACAGTAGTCATCTGTAGTGACCTGGAGCCTACTTGGCTGTGACTAACTGTTGCTTTGAATTTTACCACATCTCCTCCCCCAGGTCGAATGCTCTAGCCTGGCCTGGTTGGAGGCAAGGCTACAAGAAGTATGCTGTGGCGTTGTCTCCCCGTGCGTGGGCAGTTGCCTACTAGCATCTTCAGCAGCGAAGGCAGGATGCTATTCCATGTTTGAAGTAAAGGCCTTAGTCCTTGGCTTCAAATTAACCCGCACTTTGAAATCTCGCCCAAAAGAAACATAACTTTACATAGCAGTCCCTGATGTTGTATAATGTCAGATATGGGGCCAGCGACTAACTTGTTTGAGAAAGGTTTTGGTGACAGCTAGCTACTTTGAGGTGGCCATTTCTGGATGGATTGATTCCCTCCCTGGTTCACCCACTCTCTGGCAGTGTGACCTTGTCTACGTTATTTAACTTCCCATCCTCGGGCTTCTCATCGGCAGGCTGGGGGGTGGTGAGAAACACGTGCCATGATGTGTGTAAAGCCCCAGCCAGCGTCTGGCACACATTTTATATCTCGTCTGCCTCTTCTTGGCTGCCTTCAAAATATTAGTAAATTTGAAGACTTGGACTTGGCCACTCAGTGCGCTTCCTCCTTGTCACCAGGAATTGCCAGTTGTTGGCAGTGGGAAAAAGGCTTAGCAAATGAAGAACTGTGAACACTAGAATAGCTCAGATTGCTTTTTTTATTATGGTGATAAAATACAGATATCATGAAATTTGCCATTTTAACCATTTTTAAGTATATGATTCAGTGTCATTAATACATTCACCATGTTGTACCATCATTACCACTATCTTTTTTCCAGAACTTTTTGATCACCCCAAACAGAAACTCTGTACCCATTAAGCTCCTTACTTCCCCCTCCCCCCAGCCCCGGATATCATCTATTAGATTGCTTTTTTGACTTGAGAGAATGGCCAAAATGCAGGTCCTGTGCATTCCCGACGGGCTTCAGTTTGTGTGCTGATGTAAAGGGAGAAGGACGACCAGCTCGGATACTTTCTCCAGCCTGTCCAGAGAGAAAAGCCTTCACATGTGCCTTCCAGGAGCACCTTCATCCTTTTCCTGTAGGAGGTTGCCAGACCAAACAAATCTGTCTCTAAGAATGCGTATTTTGCCAGGAGGGAAGGATCTGATGTGGAAGGCAAATCTAGAGACCCAGGAGCAACCCAAACATCCTTCCTGCTTGGTCATTGAGTAATACAGGGAGGACAGGTGCAGAGTGAGTGAGTGAGGCCTGGGGCTACACGTAGCATGTTTTTTTGTTAGTCCCAGGCCGGCTGCACTGGTAGGTGGGAAGAGGTTAGCAATTACTGTCAACAGTTCCTGGTCCTGAAGGATTGGGGCTGCTGGCTTGTGAGGCAGTTGGCATTTTTCCAGAGAGGTTATCAGCTTCAGAACTTTATCCCAGTTCGTGACATCAACATGACTCAGTCCTGTGTATATTGTTGAGTATGTTGTGCATTACATTATCTGGGTCATTTGGTTTGTTATTCTGAAGAGTTTTCAACAGCTAGACAGGCATTTCCAGCACAACATTCACTATCCTGCCATTCAGTGAACCTTCAGGCATTGCCTTGATCACCTAGTGCTGCTATAACAGAAATGCCACAAGTGGATGGCCTTAACGAAAGGAAATTTATTTCCTCACAGTAAAGTAGGCTAAAAGTCCAAACTCAGGGTGTCAGCTCCAGGGGAAGGCTTTCTCTCTCCGTTGGCCTTCTCATCAATGTTCCCCAGGACTAGGAGCTTCTACGTGCAGGGACCCTGGGTCCAAAGGATGCGCTCCCCTCCTGGCACTGCTTTCTTGATGGTATGAGGTCCCCCTGTCTCTCTACTCCTCTCTTTTATATTTCAAGAGATTGCCTCAGGACACAATCCAGTCTTGTAGACTGAGTCCTGCCTTGCTAACACAACTGCCACCCATCCTCCCTCCTTAACATCACAGAGGCAGGATTTACAACATATAGGAAAATCACACAATACCAGGAATCATGTCCCAGCCAAATTGATACACACATTTTTGGGGGCACGTAATTTAATCCATGATAGGCATTTACCTAGCAGTAGTATGATCTGAGCCTGTGTTAATTCTAAGAAGAAATATTTGAATGAAACTCTAATTTAAAAAAATTGAAAATGCTCGTGATATAAAGTATTATGCATGCTAAATGATTTTTTTCTGCCTTGTTTCCTTTAGGAAAACTACCCTATCCCTGAACCAGGCCCAAATGGTAGGTCCTTGGGAAACTCCACTGGTATTTTATTGACTTCTGTTTTTTACCTTGGAGACACACATACATTGCTTCCTCATCCCTGTTTTCCTACTGTTCATTACCTTTGCCTCCAGTAGAAGCTCTGCTTTTGTTTACCTGAGAACCCAGTCTATCATCCACAGCATGACTGGTAGTAGGTTTAGCTTGGCTGCTACATGAAATAGTGAGAGAACCAAAAAAGTTACCATATCAGACTGCCGACTTGTCCCAAGGAGTTTTTGACATAAAAAGTTCTTCAGTCTATGGACCAAAGGCAAAATTATTCCTCTTTCGACCTAATAACCTTAATCTATCCACCATAAACTGCTATTTAGGTTGCCAAATCATGTCCTTTCTGCGTACTTTGGAAAGGAGCGAGTGTCCAGATTTTAATCTTTTCATTAGAAAAGGGAACATCATGCCACTTCTGTCTCCACCCCCAGGAAGACCAGTTAAGGAAGGGAGGGCCTTCTGTCTGGGGGGATAGGAGGGGCTGCCACTCTGCCCTAATCCACCAAGCTCAGAAAGTGGGGGAGCACACTGGGCAGGGTTCCCCACACCTTTGCTCCACTCCTTCTCGGTATTTAACTGGTGGAGTCTGCAGGCCAAGATGACATGTACATTTCCTGGGTGGTGTCTGGTTCTGGGAGGCTACACCGCCCTGTTGCCAGGGGCTGCTGAGCAGATCCCTGCTAACATTTTCCAATCCCTCCCATCCCTGGAGTCCCACGGCTTCATAATCTGCAGGACCCTGAAAGGAGGCTGGGGGCAAGGGACAGAGTGTCTGTAGAGAGCTCATCCTCCCCATGACACACCCAGCCACTCAGCTCTCACCCCAAGACTGCAGGCGGGAGACATCAGAATGAAGGTAGCTTTCCTGGTACCTGCAGAGCTTTGCTACTCAAAGGTCATCCAGGCCATTAGGTTATTGATTTATAGTGGTAAGACTACAGACAATAGCTGTTTTTATCAGTGCTTAGCAAGTAATATATATTTAGGGTTTAAGAGTTTTCATCCAAATAACTTGTTCAGAAAAGTGAGAGAGGCACCTCCCTGGGTTCTGAAAAGTTAGGGGGCCAAACAAGGGCTAACTTGGATTTAAAGGATCCTGGGATGGCTTCTCTCTGAAACAGCTTTCTGTTTTCACTTTCTTGTGCTGCCCAGGAATTGGAAGGGGGTAAAATGGGAGATTACAGTGGTAGTTCTTGCAAGTCGGATCTAATCTCTTATTACTACAAATTGGTCATTTCAAGAGAGGAAACCCTGAGGTGATTTTCCTAACTCAATACACTTCCCCTTATCCAAGACATCTACACAACAAAAGAAACAATGCTGACTCTTTGTACATAAAATAAAAAATCGTCAGTCATGGAAATAAACCAACACTTTCCCCTACCTTTCCTCTCAGAATTCACCCTGTCATTTCTTACTCTGTTTACCAAATCCAAGGACGAAGAAGGTTCTACAGGGCCACGTGGTTTGTGGATGGCACGTGGTTTGTGGCGAGGCGAGTGTGTGAGGCATCTGAATGCATAAGAGGGCTTTTGAGAAAAGCAGCACTTTTTCTCAGGGAGATAGCTGTAACATGGCCATCAAAGTCATGTTGAGCCTGTAATCCTTTAGTACTTATTTCAGTGAAGGGGCTCAAGAACATTATTATTGTAAACTTGGAAAACTGACAACAACACTACCACCAAATCTCAGCTTTTATCACATCCATGAAGGGGAGATGTCAGTTGAAACCGCTGGCCGGTTTAAATTAAAGCTTCACCTTTTGAGAAAACAACAGATGTGAGGAACTCAGCCTGATAGCTTACAAAGTGTTGCCAAGCTGAGATTCTGCCAGACTCTTCAGTGAATAGATAAGAAGCAGGCACTTAGCCTATTAATTGTCTGCAAACCAGTGTGTTCTCTTAAGGTGGATAGATTTCTTCCTACTAAGAATATCTTGTTTATGCAGATAGTTAATTTGCTCTGCAGAAGCTTTTTTGCCTAGTGAGACTTAACTGCCGTTTGGCATGTTTTCCTCTGGTCTAAATTTCACATTGGGCCTTGGAAACCCAGCCCTTGCCTCTGTCTAGAGAGAAATGGCCGGAACATCTCAGAGTGCCAGAGGGGTCAGTCCCTCCCTCAGTTGTTTTCTTCTCCTCCCTTCTCTTCTCAGAGGTGCTGCTAAAGATGCATTCAGTTGGCATCTGCGGCTCCGACGTCCACTACTGGCAGCACGGTCGAATTGGGGATTTCGTTGTGAAAAAGCCAATGGTGCTGGGACACGAAGCTTCGGGAACAGTCGTCAAAGTGGGACCGTTGGTAAAGCACCTGAAACCAGGTCAGCAAACTTCCTCAGCTAACCAACTTATTTATTCATTCCACATAAATATTTGTGCATGCTTTCTCTAAGCCAGGCCCTCTGCTAAGTACTGAGGATACAGCTGTGAACAAGACAGTCTTAACTCCTGCATGCATGGATCTGACCTTCCATGGGGTAACACAGACCTGAGACAGACAATGACTCAGTCACAATTATTTTAAGGGCAGAGGAGGTGTGTTTACTGGGTGCTATTGGTGTGTTTGACCCAGATGCCTGGCTTAACTGAGGAAGGAGGAATTAATCCAACACCTGAAGTCAAATAAGAAATAAGCCAGGTGAAGGGCTGGGGCAAGTGTTCCAGGCACAGGAATACTCCCACAAGCCGCCTCTATATGCTAAGAACCAGGACCTTGGATACAGCCTTTGATTTTTTATTGTATGGCTGGGAAACCACCAATATTTTTCCTACATTTACTTAAACATTAATCCGGAGGGAGGAATTCTCAGCTGTAGCAGTCTCTCTCTTGTTCGCTGACACAGTGAATTAAAGCCGAGCTGTCTGGGCATAGCTAGCTGTTGGCATTAACCTTCCTTTGCTGCTGAGGCCACTGCACAGCCTGGAGGTGATGTCACATAGTTTAGGGGATAGTGGGGAGTTGGCATGAGGGGTCAATCTGTGTTTGTTGTAGGGTTTCCTGAGCCCAGCTCTGAAGGATTGACCAGCTCTGAAGATGCTAGACGTATACATCCCTTAGGAATGTTTATCCATTAGGACCTCCATTCATCATTAGTGGAAACTGAGAAAGCCCCTGTGACTTTGCAGGGTTATCCCAAAGTGGAAAGTTCATAGCTTCCAAAAGCCACTGGTGATTAGTTCTTGCCAGTGGGATGAGGCCTGAACCAGGAGTGGGTGTCTCTAAATTTCAGTTATAACAGGTGCTTAGTCAGTGTCTATAGTGAGTCTAGCCTTGTACCAGGTGCTTTGAGTGATATAAAAAAAAAAAGAAATGTGATCCCTGGATGCCTAGAACTGGCTGGGGAGACCAAACATAAAGACATAAATACCAGCAATTAGAGAACACGTGTGGGTGCAATCAGGTATGGGAAAGAATAGGCTCTAGGAGTTCAAAGAAAAGACATTTGTTGTGGGCAAGGTTGTTCATGGAGAAGATAGGTCTTTGAGCTGGACATTTAAGAAGAAGAAGAAGAAAAAGAGTGTTACTATTTATTGATTTACTGTTTGCTAATCTCCATGTTAAACACATATATTATTATTTTATTTCATTCTTGAAACAACCATGAGATAGGCACTATTATCATCCCCATTGACAGATGAAAAAATTGAAGCTTGGTGGTTGCCCAGGGTCGCACAGCTAGTAAATCTCAGAGCTGGGATGCCCATCCTGGTCTTTCTGACTCCAGAACAAGTTCTCAGACCACCGGCCTGCCCAGCACCTTGCAGCTTGGGAACGGTGTTATATTTGAATTGGTGAAGAGGTCAGAAGCTAATGTTCAAGTCAAGAGGAACGAGATACTCTGAATTGTACGCACAAAAAATGTTGAATTTGCAAATGTTGTGTTATCTATATTTTTACAACAGTTAAAACACATATATAAAAAAGGAACAAGATAAGTAATATTACAGAGGTAGAAGTAAGATATCTGGGCTGCAATGAGTCTGCACTGCTTGGAGCAGAGGTTCTGTGTTGGAGAGTTGGTGGGGATGATAAGAATGCATAATCTGTGTAAAAGTCCCTCTGTTAAAAAACACTGCAACTATGAATTCTTACACATATCATTATAATGTAATAATAATTAGAAGATAAAACCAAATAAGATAAAACTCCACCTGATTATGGAGAAATGATCTTGAATGCCAGGTTGAAGAATTCATCCTTAATGGCAGAAGTACAATTTGCCGAAAGTTCACTGGAGAGAGAAAAGTAGAGGGGGAGCTGCAGGAGATAGAAGGAAGAGACACGTATAGGTAGAGGAGCATGTTTTAGTGGTCATAGAGATTTCTGTGGGTACTTTTAACACAGAGACTTTTTGAAAAATAGCTTACAATGTCTCTACTGAGTAAAGGCCAAACCTTTCACGGGTTCTTACTGGTGCTCCTGACGTGCCCATCAGGATGAGAAGGACCTAACCCCATTAGTACCGAGGACAGCAAACAGTAAACCCTCCACCTATAACAGTGTGACCACCTGAGCTCCTGTGTCCTCATCTATAAAGTAGGGATAATACCACCTTCTTGGATTGTCATGAGGAGTAAGTGAGATTTTGTCATGCGTCTTGTCTAGTGCCTGCCACACATTAGGTGCTTGATGAATGGCCAGTCACGATACTGCTATCATTAGTAAAGTCTCGTACTCAGTAGATTTAAGCACTTCTTTCTAATGGAGACTGTTTATCAGGCTTTTTCTGAGCAGCCAGCCACTGTGACTGAGAGATCTGAGGGTCTTTCTCTAGGCTTGTACAACAGGATGTCTTGCCTCGATAACGTTCAGCCTCTAGGGGTCTCCCGCTTTGTTCCTGGCTGTCAGAAGGGGAGGTTTCTGCTCCTTGCTTTGGAGTTGACTGCCTTGGCTCAGGCAGTAGGGCCTGCCCGGGTTTTTAGGCTGGTATCTGATTAGTTGGTATGAGTCATTCCTAAGTTCAGGTGGTTTTAATTCCAGTCGTAACTTTGTTTAGCATGCAGCAACATCTGTGATATTAAAGCCTGTTCCAGCAAGTCTGCTCTGTTTTTCAAACATGGAAGCCATCTGCTTTTCCACGGGTATAACTAGAGTTCTCCTCTGCAGGGATGGGTACCGGCCTGAAGATGAACGATTTGAACCATCCCAAAGCCAAAGACTAAGAGCCTCTGGATAACCACTTGGTCTTCTAGGTAGTAGTGACACTTGTATCCTGTCTTAGTTATCTAGTGCTGCTATAACAGAAATACAGCTTCTGCTTCCTGGTTCCTTGGAGATCTCCATGTGTCTTGGCATCTGTCTTACCTAATCTTGCTTAATCTCTTTTATATCGCAAGAGATTGACTCAAGACACACCTACATTAATCCTGCATCATTAACTAACAAAGACAGCCCATTCCCAAATGGAATTATAACCACAGGCATAGAGGTTAGGATTGTTCAACACATATTTTGGAGGACTGTAATTAAATCCATAATATTCTACTCTTAGGCCCCTAAAAATTATGTCTTTGCCACATATAAAACACACACTGACCCCATCACATCATCCCTAAAGTCTTCAGTCAACTCCAAGTCCAAAATCTCATCTTCTGAATCATCTAAATCAAATACGGGTAAGACTTTCGGTATATTCCATCCTTGGGCAAAATTCTTCTTCATCTGTGAACCTGTGAAATCTAGAATACAAATATCTGTTTCCAAAGTACAGTGGTGGAACAGGCACAGGTAGACATTTCCATTACCAATGGGAGAAATTGGAGGGAAAGAAGGCATAACAGGGACCAAGAAAGTCCAAATCCTAGCAGAACAAATTACATTAGCTCTCGAGGCTTGAAAATAATCCTCTGTTCTCTGAGACCATCTAGGTAATGGCCCTACCCTCCAGACTCTGGGTGTTGGCCATGCCCTCTGGACGCTGAGTGGAGGCCCCTCAGCCCTGGGCTTCAGCTCCACCTTACAGGCCCTCTGGGATGGCAACTCATCCTTTGGCTTTAGGTGGCCCCAATCTCCAGGTCCATCGGAGTGGTGACACCACTCCCTTGGCCCTGACAGGCCCCATTTTTTTGCCTCTTGGGCATGGCAGCCCCGACCTCACAGATTTGGGTGGTGGCCCCATTCCCCTGGCACATATTAACAGCAGCCCCATACTCTGGAACTGAATTGGCAAAGATTTGACTGTTTGAAACCTAGAAGGCTGTGGCCCCACCCTTTGAGACCTAGGAGACCGTGGCCTCAGCCTTTGAAACCAAGAAGGCTCTGCTTCGCATGCTCCTTCCAACAGTTCTGCTGATCTCCAAGCTGCGCCAGGGATGGTCCTTTTCGTTTCTTGGAGGACAACAGATGTAGCTCCTTTGGCCTGTTTCCTCCCTGTAGAATTTCAGGAGGCAAACAGCATTCTTTCCTTTCATTCCTTCTCTGTACCCTTCAGTCTAAGCTGATAGGTTTTTTTGCTGTGGCAGTTAGTTAGATCTGTCAGTCACAGGCTTAGTCTCTTTAACAAAAGACTGTGTAGCCACATCCTTGGTGAACATTCTAGGACAAGTGTCCTTAGTTTGTACAACGGAATTTTCCAAATCTTTAAGTTCTGTTTTCATTTTGCAGAGTTCATTTCAAGTCCATCTCTTTCCTCTCACATTTTACTGTAAGTGACAAGGAGAAACCACATGGCCCTTTTAAGATCTTGCTTACAAATATCATCAGCCTGATATCCAAGTTCATAACTTACAAATTCGACCCTCCACCAAAGGTTTGAAAATAATTCTGACAAGTTCTTTGCCATTGCATAAAAAGCATCACCCTTCGTCCATTGTCCAATCACATTTTCATTGTTTTAAAGCCTCACCAGAAGGACATTTAACGTCCACATTTCTAGTAACATTCTGTTACTGGTGCCATATGTATTCTCTAAGACTTTCTCTATAGCTCTCCTCCCTTCCTTCTGAACCATCACCAGAATTGCCTTTGACCAGGGATGGATTACCCAACAAGCAAGGTACACACAGGCTTAATTGTGTTTACTTGCTAATCTGTAGTGCAGAGCTTAGATTTGGTGAAACCTAGGTGAAGCTGTGCACTAGAGTAGTAAGTAAGCACAATTAAGCCCATGCGTAACTTGCTTACTGTCAGCCAGTGCATACACTGCTTACTGGTTAATCCACCCCTGCCTTTGATGTCCACAGTTTTCCAGCAGTCTCTTCAAGGCAGTCTAGGCTTTTACTATTAGGCACCTTAAAACTCTTTCAGCCTCTACCCATTACCCAATTCCAAAACCGCTTCCACATTTTAGGTATCTGTTAGAGCAGCACCCTACTCTTCCAA